GTTTACATTGTTCTTTATAATGAAATAATATAAATTCAACTTATCAGGTAAACAAATACAAATACATATTTGAATATAAATATCAAATATATTGGTACAGGAGCATGAAGAAACTTTCCCTGGCACGTGGCACTAATACACCGATTTACACTTGTCACCAATTTCACCAAAATCGCTTGTGAGTGGAGAAGCATACGTCCTGTTTTATAAAAAGGATGGAATGAAATCGCATCTTTGAGATAACTGAGCAATATATTTGATATTTAAATTCAAATATCAATGTCTTATTCACTTTTTCCATGATTGACATGATTTTTAAATATTTACATATTATGATGAAAACAATATAAATACAAAATGATTTATCTTTAAATAAATATTTAGAGACATATTTTCAATAATGCAGAAAAAAATCATTTTCATTATGAAATTACCTAAAAAGTATGTATTTATAACCTTCATCATTCAGGATGTAACATACATTTCATTTCATGTTTGGAATATTTGGTAACACTCTGAACATCATGAATATATCTTATCTATAGATAACAAAACTGAAAGTTTAACGTTGGCTTCGAAATCATCGTAGTGTCTTCTTTTCACCTGACTTCATTTCAGTGTCACTCAGTTCAACAAATTGTTTACTTACTTCAATTTTATTTTTTTAGCTATGTTTTGAATTCTGTTCGATCATTACAACATAAAGTTGGTATATAACAAAATACACTTTTGTAAATGTAATTTTATAAATACACTACAATTTTATCAAAATAATATAAAAGATTGTGTATACTTTGAATAAAATTAAATCATATTACCGAAACAATGAATCATAAGGGGAATTCACAATTTAAAAAAATATATTGAAAATTTGAATAGAACATAACATTGGTCATAACTTTCAATGCTGAAAAAGTCTTCTACATAACATTTTCACGGATTTTTCGAAATGGAATTAATTTATTCTCCTGATAGTTTTGAAAAAAATCGAAGTAACTTTCAAACGTTATTTGATACAATAAATAGAAAATTCCATTCGTTTTACACTCAATGGACCACACTGTATATTTGAAATTTTTATGTAAAATCTTTCGTAACTTTTCAAATGGACATGTGATTGACAATCCTAGATTGCAACTAACAGCGGATTGATTTCAGTTTCATAAATATAGGATTTCATTTCTAGCGTATATGATACAATATTACATATTCGAAGTTTCACTATTCCGCACATTACTCAATGATTGGCAGAAATAACATAGATATAAATGATAAGTAAACCCATGCAACTGGAAGGTATTAAAAGATTAGTTTATACCGTCCAAGATATAATCAGCAATAAATGTCATTTCTTCGGATCTAGCAAGGATTATTTTCCCTGTCCCAGCAGTGATAAACTATGAGTTCTATATCGACTTTACCTTGATATTATAAAGTTTATTTGAACCATATTGACTTCAACATACCATTACTTATCAAAATCTAAGTGGTTTCATTAGTACTCATCTCAGATAATACATAAAGCCGGAAAGTTATAATAGCATTCGTCTTTTCTTAATATAGTAAAAACGAAGAAAATTATGAGTCATTATCTGTTACTCTGATCATAACAAAATCGTTAATGTATTTTCAGTAAGTGCCCAAAAACACCAGCGTATTTGTCTACGCATCTCAATGCATTACTTGTAACCTTTCTATCACTTTCACTCAGTCGTCTCATGTCGTCTCACCTTTGTTTCTTTTAACTTCTTCCCAAGATTATATTCTTAGTGAACCAAGTTTAATCGATCATAATGTTTACATATTCATAAATTTTAAAAATTCCACTGAGTTAATAATTTGAGTGTGTCAAAAAAGTGTCAAGCCGAAAAATTTTGGAATAAGACAAAAAATTTCGAACAAATTCTTCATTATTATATGGACACATGTGGTCACCAGTTCAAATTACTTACTGATGAGTTATTGGCCGATTATCTAGTGTGTAGGTATATAAATTTACACTTTAGAATATATTTTCCACAAAACTATGAAGAGGAATTTCTTAATTTAAAAGACTGTTTCGAAGATAATTTCAAAGGTTAAAGTAGGACATATTAAATATCATTTATCAAAACGTAGTTGATGATAATGGCTCTCTTTCATTTCCGTACGACCATCCTGTATAATAACATTTTACGAGTTCTACTGTAATTATAATTGAGAATGAAGTTTCGGTTGTTGTTGTTGTAGGACATGTTTGTATATCTGATGGCATAAGTAACTTTTTCAGTGTTGATGTATTATATTTTGCTTGAGGTAATTTCTGCATAAATGTATTCGTATATTCGCAAATGTCAAAAAATACTAGATAGTAACTGACGCCTCAGTGTTACATTCATGAAGTGATCATATATGGAACAAAATCCCGCACACTTTATTTGATAGGGGGCCTGTAGTATTCAGTCAAAACTTATGAGTTTTTATCAAATAATTCAAACGTTTGTCTAGCTTTTTCGGCAGAATTGAAATTACCGTGCTACCCAAATATCTAACGTGTAACTCAACATGTCTATACCTAATTGAGATCCATTCATACAACACACATATTAGAAATAATAATGATATTTATGTTAGTATGAATTTTCATTTGGAAACACACTTGTAAGATGGAGAAAACGAATTCGTACTTGTATTTTTCTATTTAGCTTTCTACTTCTCCATCTTTATACAAAAATATGGGAAACTGCCAATGGAAGGAAGAAAGCAATCAAGCTCAAAATAAACTGTTTACAAAGATGTGTAGATTATACATAGAACTTAACTCTCAGATACAAACTGGAAAAAAAGCCCTCCCGAAACATTTCTCATATGAACATTAGATCACTTGAAAGATTGAACATTTTCGAAACAACTAGTGCTCATGTGAACATTAAATTACACAAAAAATACTTTTTCCTATTCAATTTTCACTTCATTCATTCATTAAGGAATTGATTCAGAAAACTTTCATAGGAACGCTACAAAATATAGTAGGTACATGAAAGAGTTACGATATATCACTAACATGAAACACTATCATCCTCAATGGCGAACTTCTGAATTTCGGAATAAGACACTTAATACCTCGTCAGCTCTATTCTGAATAACATTACAAGATGGAGCACTCAATTCAAGTATGATCTACACATCTTTGTGAAGAATTTATTTAGAAATGAATTGTTTTCTTTCTTACATTGGAAGTTTTCCCCTTTCAATTGTAATGCCAAACCGTTATTTTTAACACCTCGACACGTGTTTCAATTAATTACCAAGCGATCATGTTCAAGAGGAAGATGAAACTAATTTGCATGTAATATTGTTCTTATTTCTACTATAGATACCTCTGTTAGGTACCTGCGTCTCATTGTCTTAAATTGATTTTACATATTGCCTTAGCACCTAGTCTTAAAATGATTTTACAATAATGCCTTATCTAACAGTCTGGTAAATCTGCCAATAAAATATTATTTTAAAAAATTATATAGTATAGGTATTGGTCCACTATCGTTATTCTTAATATTATTATGTTTACTTATTTCTACACTCTCATAGGCATCTAGATGCCTGTTGTTGTTAACTTGTCTAACTAATATTAATGAACTAAAGTCCATTCCATAGACTTCAGTTCATTGTTAAGTGGTTAAGCGGTAGAATAAACACTGCAGTTTTGAACTTCACCTCTTGGATGTTATATTCTATTTCACCCAATAAAGACCATTATTATCAATATTATTATTACTATTATTTATAGACAATATTGTATGCAAATTAGTTTAATCGTCCTTTCGAAGATGATCACTTGGTGATCATCTAGTATTTACAATACTACATTTGACCCTTAGCTGCTATGGTATTTTATTGTGATCCAGACAGCACCAGTTCTCATCAGTGGTCATTGGCTGAACCAGTGAATTGTTCTAAAAAAGGCAGGCCTGAAATTGAAGGCGATGACATGTCCCTCTGCAAATAAGCCATCTATCGGAACGACAAAAGACACAATCCTCGAATATAAAATAATATTTTTTTCAAGGACAAAACACAAGCACTACAGGCAAATCCTTAAGGTGCTCTAAGAACGGTGCCTGTGTGAAAGTAGCGATTTACATTGGATTTTAATTGCTGGAGAGTAAATCCCTTTGGAAAAATGTTCTCAGTAAGTTTATTCCACATAAACGCAGGTCTCCAACGAGGCTCCCCAAGGCGGTCAGTTGCAAATCCAAGCTTCGATATCGATCTCCGAACGAAATTCATCCTCTGTCTTCCACTGCAACAAAGCTAGATGCATTTTTCGATCCACTGTTTCGATCCATCAGGTCTCATCATCAGTGGTTCTAGACTGACAAGCCTGAAAGCAATGTCGTCTTCGTAGTTAGAGATGTCATCGCCTTGTCATTTGTCACATCTTGTCACATTAGCACAGTTCAGTGGTTCATCTGCCTTGCAGTGAAAGACAGAGGACAAATGTCGTTCGGCGGTCGATGTCAAAGCTTGTCTTCGCAACTGACCGCCGTAGGGAGTCTTGTTTATCTTTAATATTCGAGGATTAAGTCTTCAGTCTATCCCTTAGATGGCATCTTTGTAGGGGGAGATGTCATCGCCTTCACTGCTATAACATGAAAGAAAAACATCGGGTAACCTATATTCAATTCTACGAGAAAATCATGCATACATACGTACTGAAACAAATTACGTTGCAACTATATGAAAGTTATCGCGCATATAGTAGCTTTTAAAATAATACTTATGACATTTTCATTCACATATTCAGATTGTACTTTTTTTATTACACTTTATTTAATTTTTTGAAACAAGGTGATAGTTTGAATCTTATATTCATTTCAATGTGCAACACTTTTTATTTGTAGCAATTTAATATTATTAATTCTTTTAGTTATAAATGAGGGGTTGGCCAGTTTCTTAAGTGATGAGTGAATTATTATCATCAATACGCTATGTAGAAACAATACTCAAAAAAATTATACTAATATGTATATTTCGAAATTGTAATAAACTTTGACTGTAAAACACAGAAATCAATAAAAGATACACAATCTCTTATAAAAAAAATCTTGTGATGATCTATTCACAATTATATTAAAAATGTTAATGCCTGTCTTATTCACAATAGGGTAACGATTATTGAAAAATATCTTCAAGGTAATGCTCATAAAGTGTGATAATTTAAGGTGTGAACATTACCTCCACGAAGTTAAAGACTTTTATTTCTCCTCACTGTTGAAGAAGATTCGACACCTTCCACTTTCTGTTGAATAATTTTTCCATATCCTCCTCTGCCTGCATCAAAGTCTGCCCTGTATTCGTCACGGACTTGTCCACCAGACCTTCCTCGACCGTACTGTCTTCCTTCGACGAAACCGACATCCCAATCGGTACGTACTATTCTATCATCAAGACGTGTACCGTTAACATACCTCATACAATTTTCGGCATCGGTCCTTTTATAATATTCTACGAAACAAAACCCACATGGAACTTTCTCGTATTTATCTAAACCCATGACGATTCTTTTGATATCTCCACACATGGAGAATAGTTCGTGAATTTGTTCCTCGGTTGTATAGTATGACAAATTTCCAACATACATCGTGGTCGATATTCTCAGAAGTCGTTCCTGCTCTGCCCTGGTGCCTTTGAAATGCTGATCGCGGTAAGCACTCAGACCTATTGATGGAGTACTCGTATTGGCCATTATGACTATTAGAAAATTTTAACCACACTTTTGAAACAACTGACCAATATTATATGCAAATGTCACTTGTCGAAAACTTATGATGTTGTCACAACCTCTTCTTCCATTCAACTACTGAAAGATTGGAGTAAATACAGTTAATATACAATTTATAATATTGGTAGACTCCTTAATCCGTATAGATATGCTATTATGTTACAGGTAGAGAGATGTCATTTGGTTTCCAGGAAGGTTTTGGAAATTAACTATAGTGAATATGGCATTAACATTAGAATTAGAAAATGTGAATTTTAAATTGAATTTGAAATTTCGTCTGCTTCCATTCATTTGACTTTATGATACTTACCAGTATAGAAACGTCTTTCAGAAATTCCGAAAAAATAAGAAAAAGATAATAGTTAGACAGAATATAGTCTTTTACCTCTGATAAATGTATTTTTCTCAATTTGTATAAAGACAATAATTATTTAAATTAACCTTTGAATCGGTTAAGTTGTGGTCCTTAAAGGAGAGGCAGGTAATTTTAATTTTACCTATCAAGTTCGTCGCTTATCAAGAAAAAGATTTTTGCATCTTCACAATTCATTTTATGATACTATTTGAAATATCCTTCACAGATCTTAAGATCTTTGAGAGAAGAAATAAAATTTTTAAAAATCCATCTGCAATCAGACTATTTTTCTCATGTTGCAATAATTATTCAGTTTTCATATAAAAATATTTGTTTCGAAAGAATTTTTCCTTCGCGTAATTCAATATTTATATGAAAGTAGCTGTTTCAGGAAGGCGTTTCCTTCCAGTTCCAGTTTCCAGATTCCCACATTTTTCTGTATCAAGATGGAGTAGTGGAAATCCAAAAAATTTCTTTCCCAAAAATTAGTCACACCTAAAACTTACTATTGTCAAATTACTATTGTTCTCTCTTCTATTAAAATAATGTGTCATTTTGATATTTTTCAGTTAAAATGTTAATGTTTATTAGGTAAGAGAAATATTTCATATTTTGAAACTGTTTTACGAAAGGGAGAGGATTAAAATGTTGATCATCATTGATATTGGCAATGTGATGCGCACTCAACAAGAGGTATGCAAATTATTTCACAAAATTTGCCCAAATCGTGAAGATAACTCGCAATGTACTGTGAGTACAATAGTTGAAAATACAGAAAATCAGGACGAAACAAATCAAAACAAAGCATAATAAATCTACAGTTTTTATCAACCAAGACATAATTTCGAAAGCATTTGAAAATCCACAATATACCAGAGTATCAGTATCGAGTATTTTTAAATAGGTAAAATACCATAGTTTTGAAGTAGAAATGTCCCGTCCATCAAGAGGCTAAGGACTACTTTTTCCGAAAAACTGAATACTGCAAGTATGATGGAACGAAATTACAGAATTAAGAATAGTATCGCGCTAACTTTTTATTCGCACATCAGGTGACGTTCTGGTCAGATGAAAATTATCACTTGGTGCAAGAATATCATACACAATCATCATAAAAGTTATATGTGTAGGCTGATATCGTGCAAAATATTGGGCATCACAAAATACACTTCCTGATTTGACTCAGTGATGTTTTGATATTCAAATAGCCAATTCCTCAAACCGCATATTCTGATTCACACATAATAACGCCAAGACACACTTTGCTGCAACTGAGCGCTAGTTTTTGAAGAGGACCTCTTTATATTGTTGAATAGGAAGAAGGGGGATAATGGAATGTCCCGCCAGATCATCTGATCTCAGCCCGTCAAATTTTCTTTTAGGGATTTGTTCAAAATCTATATTAACAGAACTGGCAATATCTATAACCAAAAAATCGATTCGGACATGAAATGCTACTCGCTGCACTAGAAAACCGCAGAGAAAACTAAATACCCGAGTAATTTCATGTATGGATGTTCATTACGTTAATTGCTCATGTATTTTGTTACAAAAATTACTGTAACTCATAACTTCCTAATACATTTTTTATTCCATTGTCCACAACTGCATCTATTTGAAGGAAGTACCAAAAACAAATTTGAAAAAATGTCATTCCTATCCAAAATTTCCATATCTCTTGATCATTCTGGGATTGCACTGCATTGTCTGCATTGTCATTGTAACTACCATTAAAAATGCACTTCCGGAGAAATGGGACCATAACTGAAACCGCATAAGTGTTTCTGCGAGCGTTTACATGATTTCTGAATTAAAATCGCAATTTTCTCAAATGGAAGTTGCAAGTAGCCAATTCAAACTCGTTAAACGTAAGAGACACGGTGAGGGGTAATTAAAGAAAGTGCTTTTCGAGCAGAATGCAGATAAGACAAGAGTTGGTGAGATTTTGCGGTAGCGTATATCAGTGTCGCATTCGTGGTGCGAAACTATCTGAAAATAGCTACAGGTTGAATCGCGAGAGTCTCTGCTAATAAAGTAAAAATTCTGTAATTATTCTGTAATATATTTCAGAGATGACCATACACGCTAGGACAAATAATTTCCTAAACAAATATCAGTTTAAGTCTGTTTAAAAAACTAATTTCCGTTAACCAGCTGTCGAACGATAACCCTCAGAAGTCGAAAATTGTGGGAGCTAGGGATTACCAAGGTCTTATTTTTCAGAGTGCGATTTCTAGCACGAGTTTGACAATACGCAGGGAGTATTTATGATCGACTGGCCGTAGGACTTGACCCATCAATATTCTACATAACAGTCGATTGAATGAGTGGAACGAACCACTTTTGCCATCCAACCGACTAACGTCTCACTTAAGCTTTGGAGAAAAAATATCAAAACAAGACCCAATAAAACCACCAAAAGTTTTATATATTATTGTAAATCATGCCCTAAAGAAAATAACGCCGGCCGTCAGTGGTAGCCATAAATTAATTGTGACGTGGCGAAGAGCACGCTCAGTCGACGAATGTCGACTGACATTTCTCCTCCGATGGAACTCCGAGGAATGTTCCAGCGCCTTCGATTGCCAAATATAAGCGCCATCCACTCGCCCATCGAGACAGTCAAGTGGAAGTTACAGTGTTAGATCGCTCCGGTATACAGAGCGATCTAGACATTAGAATAATAGTTGAAGTGTTGTATTTAAAGTGAAATAAAGTTAAGTTTTATTATTGCTCAGTGTAGTCAATTATTGGTAAATCTGCGGGAAAAAACGTAACAATATGTTTAGATGAATCAAAATCGACAATTGATATAATCATAGANACTGAAAATGTATTCTCATGTTTGTTAGAATTCAAACAGATAACAACAGGTGTTGTCCTACAGTTTTGTTATGTACCCAAAAATTTGGAGATTTTGCCAGATATTATACAAATTTTCTCATTGGGTTAGACGTTAAACTTGACATAAATAACCAATTATACTCCTATTCGTGTGAATTAATATAGTTTTGCTGAATTGTTTAGTTTTTGCGTTGAAAAGACAAGTTTCAGTAATTTTTTTGCGCAACGAGTATTGCTCCAGCAGTACTTTCAGAGTTACATGGGAGTGTATTAGGTGATATGTCTGCCTACTGCCTATTCAAATGAAATTAATACGTGAATCGAAAGTTTTTGGCCTTTTTCCAAATATTCCAGATGAATTCAAGGCATATCGTTCATATCCCAACTTGAGAGGTCGTTTCATCTCAAACGATTCATGTAATTGAGCATATCAATTATACATTCACATCATAGATTTGAATTCTGAAAGGTATTTTTTTTGCTTGCCAGCCAACTGAAAAATGAAAAAATACAGGTGTTATGACAGAATCTAAAAGTGGACTAGATTGTTTACAATTGAACGTGTGCTCACATCTGGCCAGGATGTTAAGTTCGAAACTTTGGTGAACAGAATTGTGTTAACCTATCTGAAACTTGCAAAATCAGAGCTTCAGCTTGAGAAATCAATCATACGCTTAAATAATTGAAGCGTATAGACAAACAATTCAATCTTTTTTGTATTTATGTAATTCTACATTTGTTTCATCTCTTCACGGTACATAATATACAGCATATCCCAGCTAAAACTTGTCACCCCCCTAATCTGCTAGACTAATCCACAAAGTGTACCGAAACCCCACGCACACGAATAGGTACCTGCACGCACCATCGAACCACCATTCTAGCCAGAAGAGAGGAGTCATCTCCACTCTAACGGAACGGGCTCCGAGAATATGTGAACCAGAGCATCTAGAGAAAGAACTGGAACACCTTCGAGTGACCTTGAGTTCAAAACGGGTAGAAGGAGCAAATGGTTGCACGCGCGTATCTGCCGTATATCCCTAGGGTCGCTGACATAATTGGAAAACTATTGGGAAAAACCACATTGAAACAGTTTTCAAACCCACCAGGAAGGTATAACAAGGCCACAGGTTGGCAAAGGAAAAAAAGGGACTCACTATCAGCAGCAGGGGTCTATCGCATACCGTGCACTAGTAGAAAGGTATATATCGGAACCACTAAAAACACGTTTGGCGTCAAAAGGATATTTCCACTATGAAAAATATAACAGATGTTTTTGTAATTTGATCGCATATTAATGTGAGAAATCAAAACACTTACTGCTACAGGTAGGGTGATCAAGATGACGTGGTTTCAATCTTTCATAAGAAATATAGGAGTGTTTGTGAGTTGAAAGTAACATAGCGAATTTTGCAACAGTCCAAGTGCAATTGTTACAATGAAGTAACGATATCAATGTCTACTAGGTTGGGCCAGGTTAGTCGTAAAGTGAGTGGGACTATCTTTTCTTGTATAGTTCAAGTGCAAGCTACCTTCCAACAGCTCCCCTTTAATAATATAGTTAGGGAGCTTACTAATTTCATTATTCAATAATCATTTCTGAACAGTAAACCTAGAGAAGATCCAACACAAAGAATAGTACCTGTTGTAACCCAAATTCAGGCAAATTTACCTAAAGAACCTGGAGTACCTGCATTGAGGCGTTCGGACCATATAAAAGGACATACAACAGGATGACACGTTCAGTTTGAGTAGACCTTGATGATGGTAGCACGACCAGCTGTCG